AAATGGAAGAAGAAATGTTTTGTTTACAAGTATACAAGCCTCCAAGTATGTTGCCTAAGTGATCCACTAGGGATGGCAAAATTGTGAATAAGTAGAACAATGCAATTTGACTCATTTTAATCTAATTTAATCATACCTAATCAGTTTTCAGGTAATCACACTATAAAATCACATAAATCACGATGATCATAAAACACTAATCGGTTTCCGGTTCGGCCGCCGATAAGGCCTTCAATTAGCAGTTTAAACACAAAGACACGAACAGATAATCAAATGACCAAACATATAGAATTACAATTAAACAGGTATACTTAGTCAATTCAGTTTCAATTTTAGTCAGTCAGTTCAATAGTTTATTCAGTTCACTTATCAGTCATAATCAGTTTCAGTTTAACGGTAATCAGTGGTTATTCGGTAAACAGTGACGAGGGTTGTTACACCTAATCCTCATGCAATTCTACAACAATCATAGCTATTCTCCACCGATAGCCCAATACAGTTATTTCTAAACAGATATACAATCTCAAGACAGATAATTTATTCAGAAATTCCAAAGATGGGGTGTATCATCTACTCACTTCCATTATTCATTTCAAAACTCGTTCAATTTCATCTTCATAACATCAATTTTATTTACTTATACAAAATAAATATCATGATCATTTTAGGGCAAACCCCCTCTTTTCTTAAGTATCAACCAAGTAGCAAAATCAACTATCTTGATCCCATACAATATCATTTTCAAACCCCACAATCATCTATTTCGTATTCTTTAAAAACTCCTCTTTTCATTTTACACCCAAACCCTAGGTTTGTTCAAACCACTCCCAAATTTCACTATTTTTACATAATGACAAATAACTAAGCTAAAAATCATACAAGAGTGTAAAAAAATCCCTACCTCAAGTTAGAAGACCAAGGAAAGCAAAGATGGGACTCCAAGTATGCTCAAATCCAACTTTGTTCGGATCAAAATGAAGATCGAGAAATGCTTTACCTTTTTCTCAAAGGCACTAGGGTAGAGAATCCAAAGGATCTAGGTCAAAATGTAGAGAGAGAGAATGAGAGAGTATTTTAGAGATAGAGGGTTAAGATTTAGGTTTTTGGAAAGTTTTAGAGAGAGAAGAATGAAAAAGTGATATAAAATGTCACTTTCGCGATCTAATATGTGCACAGTTCGCTCGAGCGGAAGGGTTGACGCTCGAACGTCAGACATAAAATTTTGTTCCGCTCGAGTGCAAAAGTGGACCGTTCGAGCACAGAATACACACATCCAGAACTTTTGCAGACAACAGACAAACCGCTCGAACGCAAGAAAGTCTGCTCAAGCACCAACCCGCTCGAGCGTAGGAAACACCGCTCGAGCTTGAAAAACATCCCTTTAGTACTTTTGCAGACGTACAAAGTACTGAGAGTTTGCAAATTCTGTTCGAAGGACCAAAAATCTGGGGCGACACAAGTTTTGAAAACCAAACAACCAACCTGTTCCAAACACTCTCAACATCTCCAAATAACCAAATTTAAGGAGGAATAAAGAGAAAAGGCTATGACCAACATTTAGAAACAATACAAACCCAAGTCTGTAACACAACAAGTGATGGGTCAAAATTAGAATCGTTAGAGGACCGCTTCTTAACAAATGCCTTGAAGTATCACAGGCATTTGAGTGTTGATTCATCATATCCTGTTTGTCTACACCATGCTAAGACCTTACTTCATGCACTTCAAGATTGCCAGCAGTCCAAAAAAATTTGGTCTGAACGTATTCCTCCTTCACATTGGTTGCAGTTATTTTCCTTCCGTTTATCTGATTGGATTGATTTGAATCTGGGCAAACCTCCTTGGGCAGACCTCCTTGGTCTGACATTACCCGCAGTAATTGGGCCCTAACTTTCATGGCGCTATCTCATCCTTATGGTTTTGGCGTAACCAACAACTTCATGATAGTGATTTTTAGGAGCCCTTTCAACCTGTAGAGCATATTCACGGTTGGGTTTAGGAATTTCAGTTTCATACTGAAAAAATTCTGCACGAGAAGGGTGCAACTACCATCCCCATTGTATGGCAGCGCCCCCCACTAGGATGGTTAAAGGTCAATGTTGATGGTGCAGTCTGCCGACGTATTGGTAAGGCTGCGTGTGGTGGACTAATTCACAATGCTCACGAACGGTGGATATGTGGTATCAAACAGCAGGTGGGCCATTCATCAATTGTGATTGTTGAATTATGGGGTATCTAGCAACGTTTGAAGCTAGCCTGAAGCGAAGGACATCATCAGGTCATTGTTAAGTTGGATTCGGCGGAAGCAATTTCGATTTTGGCAACAACCAACCCACTAAACCTTCAGTTTAATATATTACAAGAAATTTGGGAGCTAATAGAAAGGAGCTGGGAGTGTGACCTTCAACAAATTTGGAGGGAAGCTAATGTCTGTGCTGATATGCTTGCAAAAGGGGCCCTTGGTATGGCTGATGACAGGGAATATCTAGTAGACGAGCGCTCTGTTTTGGCTACAGCTTTAGAAAGTGATATGTGGGGGCTTGGTTCATCTTGTAGTGTTATTATTTAGTTTTGGCTTCGGCCCGGAGCTTACCAAAAAAAAAAAAAAGATTCATTTACTACTCACATTTGAAATAAAATATAATCATACACTATCTTTTTTAATTATTTTTTGAATTAATTACACTTTACCCTTTGTAATTTTACTCAAAAATACATTACTCCTTTTAGTTCTAGAAATACACACAACTTTCTTATATTTTGAAATGAAGTGCAAAGTTTAACTCTGTTAATGATGTTGACGAAAAGTTAATATTACCCATAATTTTTTCTTATCTATGCCACTATTATCAGAAATTTACCTCTAAAATTGGACTACCGTACCTCCTCATCTGTAGAACCACCACCAAGGCGCCAACTTCCCAGCACTCATGGCAGCATTCCAATCCCTCTACATTGCGTTCCCTCTCACCTTCACCCAAGACAGCCACTCCGTGTCTGTCCCAAACAACGCCTTCAACAGGGAAGACCATGGGTTTGCTTCACAAGGCCACTGTAATCTATTTCTTCTTCTTTTTTTCTTTTTTTCTTTTTTTCTCCTTCCACTAGACCTATCAATATTATTAATGTTGTAAGGTTATTTTGCTATTTGCATTTTGAAGCTTTGAATGAAATGCTTTTATTGGAACATACTTTCAGGTTTCAACCATTTTTTTCACTTTGATTGATTGGTTGAAAATTGGTAAGCATTACCACAATTATATAAATTAAATAACTAATATATATGGGTGTGTGAGTATGTGTTGTGTACAGAGTGAGGGAGTGATGGTGGTGGTGGTGCTTCTATGAGAAGGGAGGTGGCTACGGGTTGTGCATGACGGTGGTGTTAGAGCAGCGGCAATGCTTTGCTGGACTTTCGATGGCGATTGACAATGCGCGGATTCAAGAAGGAATAAGGAAATATGAGGTAGGAAAAAGATGGAAAACAAATTACGGCAATTTTATCATTTTGTGCCAAGTTTGGCTAAACTAAAAAAGTGCACTTATTTCATTTTTTTATCTTTTTTGGGTCACATCAATCAACATTTCCTCTCTACTTTTTCTACACATAATACAAGAAAAGTCAAAAAATACACTTATTTAGTCTTCCCAAACTTTGGTCTCAAAATTGTGTCCTTCGTATTGTCATCACGTGCCTCACCCAATTTTGAGCAACACGTGCTATTATCTATAACATTTTCTGTTAGTTTTACATTTCATCCCATACAACAAGATGGTTATGTATGTATTTCTAAACCTTATATCTAGGATTGTAAATGAGTTGAACCGTTCACGAATAGGTTTGATTCGGTTCGATTTGATTTGATTTGACTCAGATCATTTAATAAATGAGACAAACTCGAGCTCGAATAAATTCAACTTATTTATTTTTATTTAAATAATATTAAAAAAAATTATCAAGTCAAAACGAACCAAATCAAGCTTAAGTTTCATTAATATTAACGAATTGAGCCGAGTTCGAACCCAGTTATGTATCAAACCAAGCTCGATAAGTAAATGAATTAAGCTCAAACTCAATAAAGCTCGGCTCGTTTGTAGCCCCACTCATACCACAAGACGGTTATGTGTGTATTTCTAAACGGGAAGGGAGCAATGTATTTTTGAGTAAAATTACAAGGGGTCAAATGTAATTAACACTTATTTTTTGAACTCATAACATGGGTTGGGGACCTAGCTAGCTTGAAATGGTGTTGGAGTTCTTGCTGTGCCATAAGGCATAACATGCTGTTATTAGGCCCTATTACGGACGTGTCTTAAGCCTCTTTTGATAATCCAGACCGTTCATATTGTAAAATTCGTCAAATAAATTATTTATACAAAAGATCAAGTAAATTAGACACCTACAGTCCTATAATAATAGCACATTTGTTTTTAAAAAAAACGAACGGTTAATATGATTTTAACATTTTTTAAAAAATAATTAGTTCTTGATTATCGAGTTACTGATGTCTAATTAATTTAATTTTTTATATGAATGATATACTCGACAAATCTTATAATATAAGCGGTTTAGATTATCAAAAATAGTTTCAGAAAACACCACCTGAAAACCCTCACAGCAGCAACCCTGTGTCCGCTGGAAATTAGAATAAGTACGGCGTCAACCTTAACTTAACTCCAAATGTACGAGAAGACCCTTAAAAAAGATAAAAATAAAATAAGCCATATAATAATACAACATTTAAGTCACTATCCTAAGTTTGGGTTTAAATCTAACATATTTCATTCTTTTAAATCTGGGCTTGTATTGTCTTTAAGCTAGCTTTCAATATTACCAAATGGGACCCACATATAATTTTTCCAAATCATCCACACACAAAATTAAATTAACTTCTTAATTATAGTAATATTATTTAATAATATTTATAATTTATCTTAAAAAAAAAATAGATGATTTATAACTCAGATGAACAACATAGAATAAACAGAGGCATACTCAGTTAGCGAACTGAAGTTTATATCTCATAAATATGCACAACAAAGAATAATCATTTTAACATAAATTACAAGAATGAAAACAGGTATCAATGCTAGGTATAGGAATCCACCATGACAAATACCTAAGCATTGTCTTCTCAAACTACATGAGGATGAACACATACCTACAATATTATAAAAGAAAAAAAAAAAACAAAATATTCTGATCGTCACAGTTTAGGATGGGGGGAAAAAATCTCAATTAGCCGTGTCGTAATCCAGAACTCCCAAATAGCTTAGAATCTCAAGTAACGAAGTGGGAAAAAGCTCAAGAATCAACGTCACCTTTTCAGAACAAGGCAAGAGTCACAAGGAGAACGGCCAGATAAGACACGATGACGCACGCGAGAACTTTAGGCTGCCTGTTCGGTTGGGTTGGAGATGGTGCTGTGGACCCATTGGTGTTAGAAGGGTTAGAAGTTGGGGGGAGTTCCACCACAGCAGGCAGAGGTGGCTCAACCACGTCGGGAACTGTCAGGACCGGATTTGGAGCTTCAGCTGGTGGCATGTTCTGTGGAATCATTAATTGTATAAGACCACCAGGCTGTACAGGGATCATGCAATTTGGGGTCTTATTGCCCAACCCAAAACATCGGTTCCCTATGGTCCACCAAAGCACCAAATGTCAGTAACATAGAACAAATAAAGAAAGCTCAATTAACAGCTAATCAGACTAAAATTTGTTTTACTAGAAGAAAGTGATTAAATGTAATTACTCGGTTGAAAGCTGTAAAATTACATCTGAACCATGTTATCAGCATCATTTTTTTGGGGAAATGACAGATCTGAATAGAATATAGGGCACCTGATGTTCATTTTCTGTTACATTTTTTCAAAAATAAAATAATGTCTCACAGCAAATAATCAACAACAGCTCCAATCAGCTAGGTTTGATAAAATCAGTTCTTGAAAATTTTTCAAAAACTAGTTTGATGAAAAAGACTCGTGTGCCGAACAAACAGAGCGTTGTGCTCTTTTAAGACTTTTTTCAAAAAATGTTTTCCGTGAAAAATATTTTCCTACCTTTGGTTGCAACTTTGAAACTAATGTACTAGTGGTTGTATTAGTGATGGTGTTAGTGGTGGTGGTGGTGGTGGTGGCTGGAGTGGTGGAGATGGTGGCAGTGGCAGTGGCGTCAGGGTGGAGGTGGAGATGGTAGTGGAGGGACGGTGGTGGTGAGGGGTTGGGTTGTAGTGCTGGAGGTGATGGTAGTGTGATAGCACTGGTAAAACTTTAGACCAGAAAATGTTTTTCCCCTTTCAAAAGTAGAAAACATTTTCCGTCCAAAAAAGCTCGTTTTCCGTTGCGAACTTTAATTTTCTGTCATGCCAAAGGAAAAAAAATATTTTTTAGAAAATATTTTCCATCAAAACAAATGGAGAGTAAAGAAACTCCCACTGTATGATCATCAAAAAGAATATATGCACTTACTCTTGTATCTAGCAGCTGTCCCGGGGAATTCTGTGACAACGGCATCAACTCCAGCAGCCATGACAAAGTTGTTGATCTCTACAGTTGCGTCTGAGAAGAAGTCCCAGTCTTGAGATACAAACTCATTTCTGAAGAGACTCGCATACACCGCAAGCTTGAATCCCTGTAGCTTTTGTACAATATCTGTCATACTAGTGATATAGGCCTGGCTGTCAGGAAAGACAGATGCCTTGCTGATAACCACAGAATTGGCGAACTTCTTGATATCTGTGATGGTTACGGCATCAGCATCACGGATAATCTCGTCAACTTTGTAAACAAGCTCGTAATTGCTTTCCTGTTTGAACTTTTTCAGAACTGAGCTGTTGCTGGACTGAACCATAATTTTCTTGACTGTCTGACTATTTAGACTAGAAGTTTTTATGGTTTTAAGAACTGCATCAGTTACACCTAATCCCTGCTTTTCTGCCAAGTAGGCTGCATCCTATAAGAAATAAAAAAGCAGCATAGAGTGCTATCTTTATCAGGATTTGAGTCAGGTTAGTGCTATACACAAAGTACATGCAACTTTTCTTTTTAGCCGGTACATGCAACAGTTGAAGAAATGTATTAACATTTTCGCATTGAAACCCAATAATATCAATGTATAATCAAGTGGCCAACTAAGTTTTAACCATTAGTTGGGAGACTCTTAATTGCCCGTCCAAGACATAGTGAGGGAGGAAGACGGAATTTTTCACACCTTTCTCACACTTTATCTGTTTGACGAGCTGCTCTGTTTGGAAGCTGGCTAAATAGCACGGCCAGATACTTCAGAGTTATAGTTACACTCAGATTCAACCTTCATGAGTGCATAGAAATTTTCAGTACCTATTTAAAGAGCAAGGGGAAAGTTCTCTCACTTTCAGTTTTTATTCTGATATTCGCAACATTGAGGGATTGGTCTGATTTCTCTCATAAGTCATTGAGCTACTTATATGATTTCCTGTTGCAAGTTTTTTATAGTCAGTTTATAGATGATGAAGTTTTTGTTGAAGGCAATGCTTTTTTATCTCAGGTTAGCATGAAAATTCAATGAAGAAATTTTTGTTCCCTCAAAGGTCATGTATTAATCAAATTTTAACACACCTCTAATTCAATGTAAGAACAGAAAAAACCGCTTGACATCATTTCCTTTTTCATCGCTTTCATTTTTGGATTTTATTTTCCAAATTTCAGGGAAAGAATGATAACAAATTTGGCTTCTGTTTTCCGATTGTTTCCATTTTCTAATGTTTTCATTTTTTGTAGTTCTGGAGGTTCTCATGACCAAATATGTACTGATAGCAGAAGTTTCTTTGAAGCCAGCATTTCTTGGGACTGCAACACCAACGTTACAAAGAAAACATTTTAGGTTAGGAAACCTTGTGTCCACCTAATTCATCTCAAATTGTATATTACTATTTCAGTTTATTCAGTTTAACCACTTCCATCTCAATATCAATCAGATCATCCGACTTGTCAAGCAATGGAAGTAAACGTAGAGAGCTCATGTGTTTTCCGCATGCAACACATACACACTTGTTAATGCAAGAATTCCATTGAAATAGTTGAAGATCCAAGAAAGATAGTTTCATATCAACTCACCTCTATACTGATCAATACACCGGAAACAGAGCTGGCATTGTTTGCGAGGGCCAAAAAGTCGGACAATGTCATAAATTTTCCATCATTTTTGTGCTTTGGATTACGGAACAATAAATAACCATTTGCATACGGGTTTGATATTACCGCTGCAGTAAAAGTGAAATGTAGATAAATGTAAGGATGTCATATAACCAACAATCACGACAAAGGAATTTTGGAATTGCTAATACTCTAGTAAACAGGAGACATGCAGGATGAATATCAGCAAATTAAATGCATAAGCAAAAGTTTTCTGAAAATCAGAAGCAAGGTAAACATAACCTTATTCTTGTAAAGGGCATTCCTTTTACGTTTTGCTGCTATTGTTTTCTGAAACAGCAATAACAAGCACCACATCTGACAAGGAAACGTAATCTATTGAAAAGCTAGGTAGTGAAAATGTGACATTTTTCCTTTTTGTCAAGTTCTTTTCTACACAAACTACTTTTTATCAACCCAGAATTAGATTGGACACAAGTCTTAGAGAAGTTTAGGCTGTGTTTGGTGCAGCTTTGAAAACTTAATTCCACCCCTCCATTTGCGTGCATTGTTTGGATGGAGTTTTGAAATTGTGATTCCACCACACATTTCAAAACAAATTTTTCTTTCCTGTTTGGCTACTCTCTCTTTCGTGTTCTCCATTCTGAAAAGCAGAAGATTTTTAAATTTTGGGTCTACCCGATCATCCTCGCAGACGTCTGACCGGTTGACCGAAACAGTGTTCGTTTTTTTTTTTTTGGCACCTGTTATTTTTATATTTTAACGAAAAAATATTTTGAAATTTTTTATGAGCTTTGAATAAAATTTTGGGTTATATGTTTGGTTATGAGTTGTAAATTTTTGAATCAAATATCATATGTCACATCATTCAATTCAAAACTCTTTTCAAAACTCATAACCAAACAAATTTTCCACACTCAAATCATAATTCCAAACCTCACAAATTCAAAATACAACTCTATTCTCAAATCATAATTCTAAAGCTCTACCAATCGCAACCTTAGTTTTCATGTGTCTTAGTAGTTCTCTTGAATTCTATGTGAATAGTAACAGGGCACTGGTAGATGCAAGAAATCTATAGTTGCATAGCCTAAATGTTTTCTTCAGTGATAAGTTTACTATGCATAACTCTTACTCTTCAAGAATAACTGAAGGATGTTTTAAATTTTCAGAACAACAAAAAGGGAATGAAGAAGAAAATTTTAACAAGGGATGACCCCACAGAATTATATTAATGACAAAAATGCTGTTCTAAAGGCAAATGCAGACAAACAATTACATCCAACCCCCACCCAATCGTCACTAAAACTGACCCAATTGATATGTGTTGCAACCCCCTTTCATGGGGAATAGAATCACCTCTACTATTTTGAGCAAGCATGAGAAGTCAAATACAAACCATGCAAACACATGAACTAACGAGGTGACCTACAATTTCACCCCATCTTGAACCCATGTCAGAGTTGAAATTGTACCTGACTCTATCCTATGGTACCTACCATGGCTTTGGTTCCCAAATGTGTGCTGATAGGCTGAGAGGCAGACATGCACTTACCTGCCCTCCCCTACATTTAACAAATCACACAGTTCTGACAAAAGTATGGCACAGACTTGCGTTGTCAGCTAGAATACAATAATAACATAAACTGTCAATCAATATAAATTTTAAATTTCAAAAACTCTCTCTCTCTCTCTCTCTCTCTCTCTCTCTCTCTCTCTCTCTCACACACACACACACACACACACACAATAAGAAGTAAGCACCAGTTTCAACTTACGTGTCAAACTCTGAATCTCGCTCCATGTTAGGCTGAAGGTAAATATTCCATTGACTACTCCAAGTTCTGGAATAGATGTTGTAAGGTTGCCAAAAGGTGATTGAAGAACTGTTGAGCTATCTATAAGATTAATAGAACCTAAGCACACTGGTATTCCATCCTTCGACATTTGAACAGGACAGTCAAGAACATCTACACCATCCGAAATGGCTCGCTGATATGCCGAATCAGTACAGCCAGGGAAGTCCCCACTTGATCCTTTGGATGAGATAACTAAAGGCTTTGCTGAACAAAGGACACAGAAAAATAAATCAGTTAACCACTATTTCTTGATGATGAATCAAACAATATAGAAGAAACCATGCAGACTTCGACACTACCCAGAAACACAACAGGGGTAAATCTTTCACAAGGATTAAGCACTACAGGATGGTGGCATACCTTGTCCTGGTGCATTTTTGCCAATGTGAGAGAAACAAGCTGCAATTTCAAAATAAAATATAACAGTTAGTATCTGAAGAAATGGCAGTAATTTGTATGACACTGGTGATAAATTTAAGTAAATGTGTTGTGAAGGTCAAAAAGTTTCATACAGCAACTTTGATAAAGCAAATCTAGCATGCAACCAAGGATGGAGTGCTGTGCTGAAATAGGAAAACTAATCTTTAAGCAAGTCAGTAGGGATGGAAAATAATTCTAATTCCTTACATGCAGTACATTTTAGATTTTTATCAAAACTTCAGTCACATCATAAGATTACTGATGCTTTGCACTATCCATCCTAACTCCTAAGTCAATCAGCATTAACTCAGATTCTATTGACTGGGTAGTAAATCTATAAAAAGAGACGAGTGAGCAACTTACCTATGGCCTCTGATGGAGTTACTGGGAAGTCAGAAATCACACCATCAACAGAGAAGTTTCCATTGTCAATAAAAGCCAGATACTCAGCTACAGGATCATAGCTGAAATTATAGGCCAAAGAATTGTCGTTTGCGAAATCTGATGCAAAAATTTCTAGACCTTCTTTATGAGCATCCAAGACAATCGAGGTATGAGGCATTAAATATTGACTTGCATCTACAGGCCATATGTAACTCTTGGGAACAAGAATCCCAGAAGCAAATGTCTTGATAAATGTAAGGTTCTTTGATAGAGACTCATAAGTTTGGTTGGTCGAAGGCTCAACTTCAGCTGCTCCCAGAAACCGGAAAACGAGTTTTGTTGTGCTTGGTTTGCGATTCAATATACTCTTCAGGAAGTTCACCTCTGGTGAAGACATGTAATTAACTATAACACTTCTGAATACAGAAAGTGCAAATCTTCTCATACTCAGATTGTGTAGGCTGAAGAATGCATCATGCTGCAGAAGTATCAGAACAAAGATACAATTAATTCAAATGCTAATTGTCTATGTTACATGGACTCAGGTGTGGGTACGTGTCTAAGTTTTCAATTCATCTAATTCTCATGTACATAGACACAGGGAACAGCAAAATAATCATATTTCTTAACGTACTTTTTATTTTATAGGAAAAATCTTGTTCATGAGGTGCCAAAGATCATTTGACATAATCTGGGGTGTTTTATGCGTAGTTTTATGGTTAAATCGAAATGCTAAATATATTTGCTAGGTGAAGCATCCACAAGTGTCAAGTGTCCGACGAATATCCAATACCATTACCCAAGTACTATTTCGTACATCCAAAAGAGTCCATGCAACATAGGTAGTTGTGATATCAAAACTTTTATAGTTTAAGAACATACATTTAAAAAAGGGCCCAATTTTATGTAACAAAAAATCTTGCAATTCAAGATTTACCTGGATATTCAACCACAATCCGGGTGGGCTCATCTGCTTAACCATATCTTGAACAGTAAGAATTTGGTAGCCATCAAATTTATCAGTTCGAGAATAAATTCCCTGAGTTACTGTACAGAGATAAAAAAGAAGTTTCAGTTGCCAGAAAAATGTCACAGCTAAAAGCAGAAAATAAAATCACCAGCTCTAAGTAGCTCAGTGAACTCTCCTTGAGCTCCAATCACTATGACTTCAAATCAAATTACATGTCACACAGTAAAGCCATCAACCAGAATTACCTTATTTCATTCAACCACGGGCCAAGCAATATCTAAACCAAAAAAAAATAAAAATAAATAAATAAAAATAAACAATGACCCATAGTTTGATCATCAAATTGCTAAACTACACAGAGATGAACCATTAAGTCATTGTTTATTAAGCCAGAGCACATCAAAATTGATGACTAAAGTCTCATTTCAGTTATAGAGTATTATTCGAAACTCTCCTAAAATCAACCTCTAAATCCCTTGACCCGTGCACCCTTTTTCTTTTCCTTTTTTACCCCGCAGTGAGGGGGTGATGAAGAGCAGCATCCCAAGACTCCAACCAATATCAACGAGGCTGATGGAGTATCCGATCAATAATACCCAAACCTTAGCCAATAGTTGTCTTTCTCCCTCCTCTCTTTCTATCTTATGGGAAAAAAAAGAAAAGAAAACAATCACAAAATCCCATGATCCTTGTGGCAGGAAAGTTTCCACTGCACCATCCCAACAACGGTTTTTTCATCTTGTACTTTTTTATGCACAAGACAGCAAAATTGGTGTAATTAATAGGCCCTAGACCTCCTGTATAGCGTTAAGATGCCTTCATACACCACTCAAACGACTGGTTATCAGTTTCAAAAATATATATATATATATATATATAATCTCTCTCTCTCTCTCTCTCTCTCTCTCTCAAGAAAAAAAAAACACAAAAATCATGGTATACGTGATAGATCATGTTCATTGGATCAGCCCAATTGAATGCACTCAAATAAGCCCAACCCAAACTGTGTTTTTGCCAAACATTTTACACCCAAATTAATGTCACATTAGATCAAACTTGCATGTTGATCACTTACATCAGGATTTTGCCCACTGGAAGTTTAGACACTGCACATCAACTTGAAAAGGAAATTAAAAGTAGTAACCCAACAAACAGGCGATCCCCAGTTGAATGAAGACAACATAAATACAGTTTGATTCTAGTGCCATCAAAATAAAAAATAAAATAAAATAAATATGGAAGAATAAGAAGTTATAGAAAAAGTAAACTAATCGAAAATATGGAAGAAGCTGTAGTACAGCAATTTCCAAAAAGTCAGAAAATTGAAATTTTGAAACATTCAATTAGCTTACAATATTTAATCAAAATACTAACCCCATCTGCTTAGGTGACAACCGACAGGCTTCTGTTAAATAGGTAATGGTTTAGATATCAAATTTGATACCAGTGTATCAGTATCCAAACTATACAAAAACCAGTCACCACATAGAATGTGATATAATTAGACCAATATTTTCAACTATCTCAAAAATTATTCTTGTCAAACAATTGATTGAATAGTTTTATATTTGTTATAACTTATAAATGCACATTAAAGGATTATGCTTACACAAGGTTCTACTAATGTCACAAATATCTTACACCTCGTGCCATATATTATATACAAACCAAAACATTCATGCAGCAGTTAAGAATATCAGGTCATAAAAAAAATGTTAAGGCCACATGAAACTGGAACATAAGACTATCGACATCTAAACTTACAAACGACATTTGTCAGTTCATTGAGGGTGAAATCCACAGGGAACCATCCTGTCATAGATACCCCATTAACAGAGTAGGTACTAGTTTTGTTTGGGTAAAAAGTTGATATGTCAGAACCGTTCACAATCATGAGATTTGGAAAGCAAATGCCAGCACCGTCTTTTGTCAGCTGTACATCGCACCAGTATAATACGTTGGGTAAACTAACCAGTCCAGCAAACTGGTAGGCAATTCCGCTAGAATCAGGAAATAGCCCTGAAAAGCCACCACGTGCCACGACCAAAGGTTCATTTCCTGCAAAAGTAAGCAAATGAATAAGTTTGTGGATCATGTAGCCCAAAATTGAAGGTGGGCAGGTCAGTTTGTGGAACACATGGTTCAAGAAAATCCCCCTTTTAGATGGAGAAATTATTAAGTGCTCTTAGTGCAAGTCCAGGTGGTGCTCTGAATTAATAGCTATTGGTCTAAACCCATCATATTTCTGATGGAGTTTTAGAGCATTGCTCCAAGAGTTTCTCATTTGAATGGAATAGCACCAAGCCACCAACAATATTTACATTAAAAGAAAAGATGAAAACTTTGATAACAAAACTAAAAAATGTAATATTAATCCAAGATCCCCTCAACTATCAGAGCTTAAAGTTCACCTCTAGGCCCCGTTTGTTTTGGGCGAAAGAGAGGGTATTGGGACTGCTAATACCAAGTAATAGCCTTGTTTGTTTTGGGAGAAGGCCTTGGGACTATTAGTCCCTTGGTATTACTAATACGCTTGGAGAGGAAATTGGTAAGGAGGAAGTAGAGATGGTATTAGAAAAATAGTGAGGGGATTAGAAATTTTTTTATTTTTTTTATTTTTTATATATGGGAAATTTTTTTTAAAATATAATTTTTAATTTTTTATATTTTTTTATTTATTTTATTATTTTATATAAAAATAATTTAACAATTCCTCACTACTAATCCCCTCACTATCAATCCCCTCACTATCAATCCCCTCACTACTAATCCCTTCACTGTCAATCCCCTCACTATTAATCCCCTCACTGTCAATCCCCTCCATTCTATCTCCCAAAACAAACGGGGGCTAGAACCTAAATGTTGGCTACAAATTGAAGCAATTTCTACATATAACAAATACGAGAGAATAATTTTTTTTAAAGCAATACAATGTCATTGAATCTAATAACAAATAATCCAATAGGTCACAATTACACTATAAAAGTAGTATTATTTTAGATATTTTACTGTAATATGTCATTTTTATTACCAAAAAATATGTATAGAGTGAGACACAGAGGAGAGAGGTAGCCTTGACAGTAGGGACATCGATTGTCCGCAAAAGCAAAACTCCGCATCCACGGATTTCAGCTTAACTCTGTTTGGTTGCCGAGAAATGTGGCAGAAAACACTAATCAACACAAAACACGAGACTCGATGTGTTTTATTTTCTTCTCGAATCTTCTTTTCCAACAGGTTTCTCAGCAACCAAACAGGGGGCAAGTGAGAATCAAAATCTAAAGTGAAGAAAGGAGAGGGAGAGAGAGAGAGAGAGAGAGGAAATACCGCTTAATGTCTGCCACTTTGTGGTTCTGTTCTTAGATCCCTGAGCAGAAGCAAGAGCCGCAGAGCAAAGAAGTAAGAGGAAGACGAGTGATCCGAACTTGCACATTTCGCCGGCAAATTTCGCCGGAAAATACTCAACAGCTCTGAAACTTGAGGCGATCTCCGGTGGATTTTCAGGTTCAGTGAGATGCGAAGAAGCTTTGGCACTTTTCCCAGCTGTAGAGAGAGAGAGAGAGAGTAGAGATTGTGGCTTTACAAAATGGCCTTTTTCTTTTTATATATTCTTTTGGAAGAAAGGTTAGCCTTTTTAAGAGGTCTTAAAATAATCAACACTGCTACGTACCTCGAATTATCAGCGGCTCGAATGGCGCGAAATTTCAAAACGACGTCGTTTTGAGATTTTTTTTATTATCTTACCGGTAAGATTTATTCTCTTACCGGTAAGATAATTTTTCTGTACTAGGTCTGAGCCATTCTCTTACCGGTAAGAATATCAAAACGACGTCGTTTTGACATTCGAGGCATTCGAGCTTTCACGCATTCGAGGCCTCAATCTTTTTCCTAAAACAATATACTAGAATAGTATAGATTAGTAGAGTTAATTGTTACGCGGTTTGTATTTGTATTACTACGTCGTCCCTACCCTACGCGTGTTTTCCATTTATTTATACTGGAAGCGGCTTCAGTCGGCGGCCTCAGCTTCAATTCTGGAGAATATTGGGAGGGATGGTAAAAGTTTAAAGGAAAATAATGTATTATTTCTTAGAAACATGATTGAGACAACGAATTTTATTCAATGTGTTTAGTTTGAGTTTTTTAAATTAAATTTTAAAAAAATTAAATTTTTTGATTTTTGTATTTTTTTATTTTTAGTAAATATTTTTAAAATTTTAAACATTTTTTTCCTTTTTTAGATACACCTTACTTAGATGTATCTAAAAAGTAAAAAAATTATGAAAAAAATATTTTTAAAAATTAATAAATACATAAAAATATAAAAAATGTACTGAATTCTTGTATTTTTTTATATTTTTGGTATTTAGTGAATTTTTAAAAGGTTTTTTTTAGTTTTTTTTTACTTTTTAGGGGTATTTATGTTAGGTATGTCTAAAAATTTTAAAAATTGCTCAAAATATTAAAAAAATTCAGTAAAAATAAAAAAATATGAAAAATAAGAAAATAGAATTTTTTGAAAAGTATTTTTAAAAAATGATAACCAAGCATGCTTATTATTTTTAAAAAATTATTTTTAATGATATATTTAATAAATATTAAATTTTAATTTATTAAATATTTTATCATATGAAATTTAATTTCAATATCATATTATTAAAGATCATTTAAGAACAATAAATTAGTAAATATGACATTGTTATATTTCTTATTCTATTTTATTACTTTAGGATATATTTTATTATTATTTTCAATCAAGGGGAAAAGTTGCTAGGCCAAACAATATTTAAGTCAAGTTTAAAATGTGTCAAAAAAGTCAAAAAATTATTTAAAAAGTCAAAAAATTATTATTATTTATCAAAAATTAAAAAGTATGGCTATATAATTCTCAATCTTAATTTTTTCTTACACATTAATTTATACAATTTTTTAATACACATTTTTTCATAAAAAGTCAAAAAATTAATTTAAACAAACATATTTTTTTCTTCAACTTTATAATTTAAAAAATCAAAAAATACACTTAATTAAAATATTCTAAACAACCATTTACTCACTTTTGTACGGTAATTTAAAGACGGGATGACCCACTTTTTTTATAATTTTTCTCTATTGAAAGCATCAATAAGTAATATCACCTGATATTCCCAAATTTTCGAATCATTTTTCCTTCTCAATAAAAGTAAGTAAGACATATACGTATTTATTAATACAAATTTCATGATAAAATAAAAAGGTAAAATAAAAAATAGGAATATGTAGCTCATTCCTCGTGTTTTAATTTAATCTTTTAATTAATTCTACTATGTTTTAATTTTTTTTTCCCCGTAAAAAGCTTGAAAACCCATTATACAAAACCCAAAATAGAAAAATTTTATATTAATTGAAAAAAAAATAAGTAGATAAATAAATTGTTAAAATAATTTTTAAATCGAATCAATTTTAAATCAAATCAAATTAACAACCTATTTGTACAAAAATATATATATTAGGTTCTACGTCTCTCAAAATTTTATTGTGTACCATAAAAAACATATATTAAGGTTCCGTAAATAATTTAAACCCTTCAAAATTCACATTTAATTTTTATGTATTAACGCATATTTACAACTGTTGGCTACATATTTTGTATAGGCCAATCACAGTTCAACACGTGGCAGAATGAAGACAATACGGGAAGACAATTTAAATCTTCAATCATAATCACAAACGTGGCAGTTAGTATTGGTTATTGTGGATCTGCATAGCACTAGATCAGCAAAGAGATGCAAGCTGACGTGGCTTTGACAGTTACTCATACATTTAAATTCAAAATCAGGAGGGAAGCCTAACTGCAGACATGACATAGTGGAACTAACTGTGAGGAAACATGATCAGCAATCATGGAGGGATGATTCGACGGTTAGAAACTCATTTCGACGGTTATCATTAAAAAGTATGAATAGCAGAGAAGGCCCCAAAAAGAGCCCCAGACTTAAAACCAAAAAATCAGTTTTTATCTACTTTATTTTCCTTCCAGTTTTAACATTTCTTGTTCTTTACATTTCTGTACTTCAAATTCCTGCACTGCACTTCGTTCATAGGAATAGTTTCAAATAGTTTGTTGCTGAATTGGATCATTGTAAGTCTTTCATTTTTACTTAATGAAATGTTACAATTGTTCTTCGTTTAATCATTGTTTGCTTAATTCTCCTAAACAAAGTCACCAGTAAAAGTGCTCTTCATTGAGGCTAAAAGAACTAAAACACAATCGTCTGATAATTGGTTGGCAATTAATTTTCTGTAAGGACTGATTGTTCTATGCTGGTACGCTTAAAATTACAATAATTACCTTTGAAAGCCAAAAAGCAACATATATTTTTTGCACGCCCAGTGGGACTAATTGAAATGGCTAGACGTAAGAGACAATAAGAAAATGAACGCTTGGAAGAAGGCGTGGAAGGGGAGGTAGAAATACATAATCCAAAGGATAATGTGATAACATATCCTGTAGGGGTACCTGTTTTATCAGAACCTATGGTCGAACAGACCAGCACATCGGAGCAAGTACCACATGTTCAAAATATTGGACGAGGCCAAGGAATTAGACCATCCATTATTCCATCTACTCAGTCGATAAATCCATGGGGAGGCCTAGTAGATGCCATAGGACAGCAGTTAATAAACACAATGGAAAGATGGGCAACATCCTTTATTGATCGAATGAATACTCATCAACCAATTAACGCAAGGCACGTAGAGGAAATTTCAAATGTCTCTCAGCAAAGATTGGCTAGAGATAAACAGCCTATGCAAGGTAATGGACATACTAATGGTCAAACTAGTAACCAAAACTATGAAAGACCATCACCTCAGTCTTGGTATGAGTCTCTTTTGAGGGTTGTGACAAATCAAAATGCTTCATTACTTAACAATGAAGTCATGCAAATTAGTGGATCCGGGCCAACATAAGAAAATGGCATAAGGATGCTTCCAAATCCCATGTTTGAAGCCATACCTGGCACAATGGGGTTCACTAATCCTTTATTCAAATTTGTACCCGGGGGATTGGAAGGGTTTCCTGCGACTGGAAGAGACACAACACCTGTTCCAGCACCTTTTGCAGGTCTTTTCGCAGGACAGGCTCAGAGGGGTTACCCATACCCTCAACAGCAACCAGCACCACAAGGACAACCAGTCCCAAATATACTGCTCTATAGACCAAGAGGACCTCAGGCACAAGGTTGTCCACCAAATCCTGTGTTTGTTCCTCCAGTAGTGGTTCAACAAGCACAAAATATAGTTCTTAGGAACCAAATTGTTGATCTTGTTAGAGAGATACGTGGACCGATGGCTCGGGGGGTTCAAACTCCTATCTACAGGAAACCATATTCAGAATAGGTAGATAGGGTACAAGAATACTCGAGAGAGTTTAGGATACCAGACTTTGCTCTTTTTTATGGGAATGGAAACCAATCAACGGTAGAACCTATTGCTAGGTTTGCTGCTCAATGCGGTGAATTTACCAATAATGATTACATGAAGTTAAGATTGTTCCCAAATGCTCTAACTGGGACAGTTTTTGTATGGTATATTAACCTTACACCTAGCTCTATCCAAACTTGGCAACAAATAGAGGAGGCATTTCATGCCCAATTCTTCCAAACAGAGTCAGAAGTTTCCATGGCAGACTTTGCAAAGTTGACTCAAAGGCCTGATGAGAAGGCTGCTCAATTTATTGCCAGATTCAAAAGAGCAAGAAACAAATGTAGGATCATCCTACCAGAGCCTGAATTCGTGAGATTGACTTAAAATGGTTTAGAGTTTAGGCTTCGAACGAAGTTTGACTCAACTGAGTTTAGAGACTTAGTGGAACTAACTTATAAGGTGTCTAGGTATAAAGCATTACTAAATGAAGAACAAGATCAAAGTAATGCATCATACAAGACGTATTATAGAGATCCTAATTATGAGATTGATGCAGCAGAGATTGTAGGGACAGAGATTGTGGGGAAAGAACATGTGATCTGTGAAGCATTAATTCATAAGGATACAACAATTGACCAGCAGTTTAAAAGAAAGACCTTCATAGGAAATACTCTTTCGATTTAACAAAGGCAGATGATATTTTTGATCATTTGCTTGTGGCAAACTTCCTAAAGTCACCAAAATAAGACAAAATTCCGTCTCCAGAGGAACTTAAAGGAAAAATGTATTGTAAATGACATAATTCTTGGTCTCATTCAACTAAAAATTGTATTATTTTTCAGGACAGGATCCAATAACAGATTCGAAATGTGAGTTTAAAATTCCCAGCTAAAGCAGAAAAGACTATGGGGATTGACACTAATCTATTCCCAGAAATTTGAGAAGTTGCAGCCAATGTTATTGTGTTAGACTTCTAGAACTTATCCTTGAAGGAATTGGAAGAGGTCAATGTGCAAATGCATGTTGCCAGCCAAACTACTGTCAAGAAAGATGCTAGAAGTTCACCAGCTGTTGGACAGGGCTTTGCAGACCAGAAGGAAGACTCTGATGAGGAGGCACTGGATGATGATTCTTTAGAGGCAGCTGTCATGCAAAGAATGTGTCCCAAGTGCAGGTTGAGCTACAAGTGGTTGAAAGGGCT